TCTATTCTACTCAGAAATATTTTACAAGCTAAAAAGCGAAAAGCCATGAAGTAGAATAGTATTCCGCGAACTAGGCAAACGTTAAAAAACCTTATGTGCCCAACTTAAATTAGTAATTAATTGAAATTAATTAAATTAAATAATAATTAATTAAAATTAATTAAATTAAATAATAATTAATTGAAATTAATTAAATTAAATATTAAATAATTAAAATTATTATTAATTAATTAATAATTTTTAATCCCTTAAATTCCAACTTTCAATATGACAATAGGCTTTTGTTTATCCAGTTGGCTTTCCAGAAGCTAGAATGCAAAAGTCAATCGAAGATAGTAAATAATAAAAAGCGAGCAGAAATACGACTAAAGAAAACACTTGTAGTTATAATAGGTTATTCAAAACTTGCAAAACCTGCTCTTAAGCGAATTTTGCAATTCTTTATGAAGAGAAAATTGTGCAGGCCATCGAGTTCCTTTTATGCTCAGCTCATTTTATCTCTTCTTTGTTATAAATAAACTTTAAATTCGAAACAAACAATACCCCTATATGGCATCTTATCACACGCATCCTGAAAAAGAAGGACTCTATCTGCTTTTTATGCAATCAAAACGTTTTGTTCACCTTCTTTTCTATTTCTTTATATAAAAAAGCCTTCAGTAGAATTCAAATCATATTAAGATGACAAAGAATTTTTTTATAGTTAGAGAATTTTTCAAATATTCTCTAAAGTGCTAACGAATTAAAAATTTCTTTAAGTAGTGCGTAACATGTAAGATTTGTTGCAGATACAACCCTGTAGTAGATGAGATTGTTAATCTCACTCGTTAAGAAATTGAGGAGAGAATTAGAAGACAATGAAAAAGTAGAAAAAGGAAAAAGAGCAAATGCAACTAATTTAATGGAGGATCGCAGGGTCAGCGACAGCGACAAATCGCAACTAGAGAAAGTATATTTAAAAACCTAAAAAGCATTTTTTTTAATTAATCGTGTGACTTGCGTTACATATTTATGTGTGGTATCAACAACCTCCTCACGTTTATTGTCAATGAATATGTGCAGTGAAGACTGAAATAAAAACGTGTCATCGAAAATGTCGGGCAATATTGAGAAAGGAAAACATTATGTAAGCAAAAGTGTGCCCGATAATTGCGGCAACGACAAGTTTAAACGACCAAATCAATATAGAAAAAAAAAAAAAGAAAAGATATTTGAAAGTGAAAATTATTAAAGAAAACAATAGAAGCGAATTAATTTAATTAAGTATAGAGGAAACGTATGTTTTGAATATTAATTATAACCTATATACGCTCGTGTTTACAATATTGCTCGCTATATGGAAAAAATTGCTAAGTCCGTAATTGAAATTTACAAGGAAAACTGTATGGAAATTTTGGACACTTTAGCAATAAGCTATAGAATGGACGTACGTAAAAGAGGATATAGAAAAGCAAGGAATTCATGTCTCGGCGCACTGAAGAAGAAAGGAAGAAGAATGCAAAAGAAAACTTGGGGAAAAACAAATATGAAACCTGCAAACGATAAAAGGGATAAGTGAAGAAAAGCGTAGACATGTCTACTCATGTATGCGCGCGGATGGATATAAACTCACATTGTGTCAAAACTGTAATGAAATCATAAACATGTCTGGATCACCTTTACTACACACAATAACCTTGTGTAGTTGCAATTACCATAACAGTAATGTCAATATCGTCGTCATCATCAAAAACATTCGTTTTCTCAGAGATATATAGGCGTCTGTGTCAGAAAACCTATTTATACACATTATTATATTATAGACCTTAATTGTCCATATTATATTCTTTTTTTATACATAGACTTTTTTTTTTTATGCAAATATTTTTTTTATGGATTTTATGTATTAGATGGATATATCTACATTTTTATTATAATATAAATAGTAAATTACTCTATATATTTTTATTTTTTCTTTTCTGTTCATATAGTTAATAAAATGAAAAGATCTTTATAATGTTTCAATAGAAATCTTTTTTTTTTTTTTATAAAAGGAAAGTAGCTCTATTTCGAGGGCCCCCATTGCAAATCATGGGCTGAAGGAGACCAAAGGTAGGCTAAAGTGTAGAGGCTCAGGAGATCAGAGGATCTGCCCGTTCGTCAATCCGTTCATTCTTGTAAAGGCAATGAACGAGCATTTCTTTTAGGTATATCCGGTGTGGAGTGTCCGTGACCCAAATATTCTTATATATCTTCCTATATTTCCCGACCTAGCTAGCTTAGCAATGACGCTTGCAGCCATCTCTACATTTTGCAATCCACGTTAAAGTAGCCCTAAAAAGTAATCATGTCCGTAGTTCAATAGTTGGATATACCTTCAGGACTTACGAACTCAACGCAATAAGTATCACCAAATGAAATTATTTTTTGTACATCTCACGGAACAATATCAGGCGAAATATTTTTAATTACAAACTGTTATGTTTCCTAAAAATTGCATCTCTAAGTGGTGATGAAATATGGTGCACGTATACGGTTTGCTATCAAATATTTCACAATGTTTTGAAAAAAATTAACCACATTTCCCTATGAAGTTTTACGCGAAACAAATGCTAAAGGAATATTAACAAATCCTCTATGCCAGGAAAGACTTGATTTCGATTACAATAACAAATAGGATATATATGGCACTGATGTGTTAATTGGTCACAGAGTTGCTATCTTAGTAGACAATTCAGAATCGGTTACTTCGAAATGTTGAACCATTGTCAGACTTCATGCTCACGCCCTGAGGAAAGAAAATGCTCTCGAGTCCCATGAATTGAGTATAATAAAAATTTATCTGAAAATGATTGGAGTTACACCGATTGATATACACGAAAAATGCAACACAAGAGAGCCGGGTCGACATCTAATTTTCAAATGCCGAAAATCTGAAAATATAAGATTGTTTAACCTATTTTAAGAATTGTTTGTATGAATATGACTCCTTGCCCTTTTCTAAAAGAGATGAAGTAGTATTGTGGTTCAAGTACTGCCTTTAAGCTATACGTAATTGTGTATGTGTTGTGACACTGAAACACGTACAACATAGCTACTTGAGCTTGTGAATAATTGGTGTGGTTTAAGAAAGACAACTAGGCAGACTTGATTAAATCGATTTCGCTATTCGCGTTGACTATAAAGGTACATACTTTAGAGAGCATCGGACACATTTGATAAATGGAAATAATAATCTATGGTAGAATTAAAAATGGCAGCGTTTCCTAATTAAAGATTGAAATCTCTTTTTATTTCTTTCACTTTTGCAGAATTTCGCAAAAGGTTACTATGCGCGACTGTCGCTTGTTTAGCTAAAGTCACGTACTTTCGTTTTCTAGAATTTATTAACCCTTTTTTATTCATCTATAATTTTTTCTCAAACACGTCTGAAAATAAATATGCGTACGGCAACCACAAAGCAACATAATAATACACTTAAATTACTGTCAATTACGATTTTACATTCGTTCGTTTCTTTTTGTATATATTAACATATTTTACATTTTTTACGTTGTAAATTTGTTGTTGTTTTCATTGCTCAAACTTTGCATAAAACAAAAAATATATTAACTATGCAACTATGTCTATGAGGGACGGACCTTTAGAACTGCGTTAAAATGAAAGAAATCTTTTCGAGATCAAGGCAAACATCGGGTCCAATTGGAAAACAAAACGAGATGAAAGCATTAAACTAAAAAAAAGGATATAGAAACCGCATCCTTTTCCTAACAACAGTAGCTTATGAACTGTGATTTTCTAATATATCTCTAATGGTTTAGCCTGAGTACTTTTGTAAATTTAATCTTATCATGTCTGCTCACATTCGGGTTATTTATGCGTGAATTGGTGCTCCCCGAGAGAGTGATACCATTGCTATAAGCTGTTGGTCCCCTGCAACGAGAGTACCAAATAGATTTGAAATGTACGGCCAATATACCCACTCTCGGGAAAGTTGAGGTCTATCATCGCTTTAGGAATGCTTGAAAATCGCAACCACCACGATACTCGCTGCAGGACCTGTCCTAGCAGTTAGGACTCACTATCGTAACTACAAGATTCCTTCCCTAAGGAGTTTCTCTACGTAGGGATAAACCACAAGATTCCTTCCTTAAAGAGTTTCTCTACGTAGGGATAAACCATAAGATTCCTTCCCTAAAGAGTTTCTCTGTACTGGAATAGGTGGTGAGAGGACGCCTGACCCCTTGAAGCTTAAATTTAGACTACAACGCCTTTAGCATTAGTTTATATGACCATAGACCCACTTGTTTTTGGTTCTGGAAATTCAAAGTATCCTTTCTCAACGTATATACGCCGGCGGATACAACTGACATGGCCTGCTTCTCGACTACTGCTAGCTTAACGTACTTTACAAGCAGCAATAACAACGTGTCCTGCTACAACTAGTTTGTATTTCCTCCACAGCGATAGTCTATTGAGATGAGAAATGTTTTTTTATGAAGAAAACAAATCTTCTTCCAGTGCATCCCTAAGCTATCTACGAGAAAATTCTGTCGCCAAGTTATAGATTGTCAAAATCGTAAACCATTCCTCGCCAGTCACAGACCGTTGCCAGAATTCATCACTTGGAAGTAAAAGTTTTCCTCACGTTTATGCACGCATTAAACATAGTTTATCTCCCCCTTATAACGTCTACAATAGTAATTAAAAAGTTTTCTTGTTTCTATTTAGAAAAATGTTTACTTATTCGAAGGACTAAGAAAAGGACATAATTTAATTAAATGTCGACAGAGAAAGGCAATGGTGTGTTAGTAGAAGAAAGTTTTTGCAAAACTATATACATATATATATATATATATCTTTATTCATTTTTTATGAATAACATTTCAAAGAAAATCTTTATTCATAATTTGCTTTGTTTCACTTTCAGGATGGAAAGAATCTATTTTATCATTACCCAAAAAATGGCTTTCCACGGCAGAATCTGTAGACGAATTTGGATTTCCTGATGTAAGTTTATTTTAATCAAAAACGCTTAAAGCAAATAAAAACAACCAAACAAACCTCCCTCGTTTTATTCTAAAAAGTGAATGATAAAAAAAAGCAAGCAATTCTTCCCCTTTGCGAGTACACAAAGAAACAAAACAAAGGTATAAATAAATCAGCAAACGTTGTCCATTATAATTAGTAATGTAAATAAGTTTGTCGTTTGCGTTTTATTTAAGCCTCCGTTATTCCCTAAGCATTTTCAAAATGCTTAGCTTTATTGTTAAACCATCGAAAGACGTCTCCGTTAACTATAATAAACGACTCTACGGTGCAGTAAGTAAATCTCTCTCAATTCTTGTCTGGAAATCTTAAAATATTTTTGGTTTTTCCTTTGCCTCCCGTCAAATTTGAGGGCCAATCTTACTGATTAACTTAACGAACGCTAAAAAACTAACAAACATACAAAACTATTTTAGTTGAGAACACAAACAACAAAATGACAAATTTAAGCAAAAGTTTCTGCTAACAATGTATGTAACAGATATATATTTGCGAACATTTTTCTTGCTTCTTCTTCTTTTTCTGCAAATTAATGTTTAATAGGAAACCTCGATTGCGACTTTTGTGTCAGGCGCTATAATGTGCGGACAACTTTTATTAGGCTTGGTTTAGATTCTTTTTCTTTGTCGTCCTCTCCACAAGATTTAGATCTAAGATCTAGAATTTGCTAATACTTAGAATTTGATATATTTCTCTTTGCGAATCCATTGATTCCCTTGCCTAAGGCAATTACCTTAACCTTTGATACAAGCAATAAATGTTTCACAATTCTCAGAGTAAGTCTTCGATAAATATCCGCTCAACCTATTACAGTAAAAGTTCCTTATTCGCGGGGGATACGGGATATGGGATTATAGGGGATACGTTCCTAGGTGACAAAATAAAAAAAAAATCAATTTAATTGAATGCGAATTTGCATTTAGTTTTTCCCTCTTCAGGCAATTTGTTATTCGGGGAAATTACTTAGCTGCAATGAACTAGATTTGGGATTTTCGCAACAATACTTTATTTATTGAGCGATAAGGTTCCTGTCATTCTATTTGTTTACATTCTCAAAAATTGCGAATAAAGAAATTTATAGCCGCGAATATGGAAATTGGTCGCATTTTTTCCATCCGCGAATAATGAAACCGTGAATAAAGGAAGCGCGAATAAGGAACTTTTAATGTATTTGAAAAGTATAACAAAATATTTCGTGTAACATTTAGCACTTTAATAGGATTTATTAGCTAATCCGAATAGATGTCCATATTAATTTTCACTTGAATGTATAATTTACATAAAAAAATAGAATTTCGCCTGTCTTGCCTACAAATTTTTTGAGTGCTCAGCTTCAGGCTATAAACTATTCTTGTATCCAGGTTTCATTGCTCAAACCGTTCTCAACTTTAATCGATAGCCGTTAGTTAAAAATATATGATCATAGAGAATAAAAAATGGAATAGAGGAATAATATGGACCGGACAGGCAAATAGGCACGTGTTAAGTCAAAACAAAACATTTCATTGTTACGTTTAATTAAACATTTGTTTACTTTATGGCACCACCGATGCGCATGCCTAAGTTTTGCAAATGAAAAGACTCATCCGTGTGACTCCACCCTTTGTTGATGAAACTAAAAAATAAGTTCATATAACTTGCAGAACAGAAATCACATAAAGTCGAACCGATATTGAATTATTGGAAACGCGATCAGATCGTTACAGATTTTCAATGAATCGATAATACTGAAGAACTGTAACAATGTTGGCAATAAACTAGACTTAGGTTAGATCTGATCAGTTTTTGATGAAATTTCTCACAAAAACTCCACAACACTCAGATTCTTTAGTTTTTAATTTGTAGAAGAAGAAGAAGAAAAATTCCACAATCAAAGAGGATTGAATAAAAGAAAAATCGAGACGATATCTTTGTCAATATATGATGACACCGATTAGAAAGTACTTTTGTGAAAGTGAGAGAAAATCGTAAAATTGAAATAATCATCCTGCGTATAAGATTTTAAGAAGCTTTAAATAAAAAGCTGCGACATAAACGTTAATATTTTTTTTTTTACAAATACTCAATGTCATGTTCTTTTGCTATTTTCATATATTTAAGACTTTCCTCTATACTTACGTCTGTCATATCATCCAACCGGTCATGTCAGAATTTCACTAGAGATTATATGGCAAAACTGCGAAAAGTCAACTAAAAATCATTTTCAAAGTGTTCACTTCTCCTGAGTTTGCATATGTCACGTGTGCATTCGATTTTCATAAATTTTTTAAACAATAAAAAAAAAAAAGCTTAATATTTACCCTATCTTACGACATTATTTAATAATAGTAACAAAAAAAAAACACATCTTTTCATAAAAGCCAAGTGTACATACACATATGCAGAGAGATAATTCCATTACTATTTTATTCGTTTCCCAGAAATGCAGAGTATTTGCACTCAAAAGCAAAGTTTTCTCTTTTATTGTTACTTTCACGCATGTGAGGCTTTAAAAGAATACATATTGAAAGGATTTTACAATGTGTACAAAATAAGCATTGTATTATTGTTATAAGCATATATATATACATAGGTACATGTATGTATACATCCATATATATAAACTTACATGCATGCATAAATAATGTTTACGTGAGAAGCAAATCTTGTTAAATGTATAGATTTTCTTACAAAACCCATGACAACGTTATCCTCCCCGGAATACTTTATTTATAATCAAAAATTTGAAATTGTTGTATTTGCTGTTAGTGTGAATATTGCAATCAGAAAAGGTGAGCTCAAGGTGTTTACACTAAATAACTCTTTGAGCAGAGCTTAATAAGTGAACTACTTTTGAACCATGAAACGACCATACTGCCCTTATAAAGGCAAAATTCTATCAAAAATTGAGATCGAGTACATTTAAGATAATGTTTTGTAGACACTTCCGAAAGTACCTGTCCCACCGCTGGAACAAACTATGGCCGATTATATACGTGCCTTGGAGCCGGTTACCGCGCCCGCTCAACTAGAACGCACCAAAGCCATTATTCAACAATTTACAGCACCAAACGGTTTAGGTCCAAGGTTACATCAATACTTATTGGACAGACGTGAAGCAGAAGATAACTGGGTGAGTAAGATTTGCATTTCTCAAAAAAGAAAAAAAAAAAACCAATCTTGTACACTTAGCACATCTCTCAGAACGAACCAAATAACTTTCTATAGTTCAGTTATCCATTGGTTAAGCTCGTTTATGAATAATGAACAAAAAAATCGAGAAAAAGAGATATGTTCACGGCTTACACTGGAGTGTAAGGCTGTCCTTTAACTTGCAAAGTTTTTGCCAAATTTGAAGGCCAGTGGAGACGAGCAGACATCCCTAGATCTATTCACGATTTCAAACTGATTTAAAAAATATTCATATTTTACATCCTCTTCATAATTTTTCAAATATTTAACTGTGAGACGCACATGTAGAGCATTTCGATAGAGTCTGACAGAGCCTAAAGAGACTAAGCAAAACATGGAATTAATTTTCTCTTGATTTCCAATTCATTCAGAAATTCATTTCGTCTTTTGATCATAAAAGCCCGGAGAATTAAGAAATACTACAGTTACCTTACAGTTGATATTATTTGGTGGTACTGGCTACTAAATCTTTCATTCTATATATGCGTTGACCAACACGAATATAAAATTATGAACTTGCAGCCACAATTTGTTATACGAGAATCTAACCTATCAACTCAAAAGTTTCAATGTAAACCGAAACGTTTTCTTTACATCATATTCGATTGCTCAGCAGGATTTTCAACCGATTTTGTTAGTAAATGCAGGATGAAGGATGTAAGTAAGGATAGGTCATGGTATTACTTTACAACTTCCCGTTTAGATTCCCCGTTAGATTCTTAGGCTTCTCAAAAGGTAGATAACTAACTGCGTAAATCTAAAGAAGCTTATCTCAAATAACTCCCGCTGGACTTAAGTAACCTGACTTCGTAAAAGATGATGGTTTCAATTAATAAAAAAAAATTCCAATATCGCTTTAGGTTGCGAATTCTATGGGTGATCGTCCGTACGACAAGCTCTAAGATGCGTAAATTTTCAAAACCGAATGGAAAACAAAAACTTGGAGAGGTTTTCGATTATACATCGAAACCAAATCCGATGCGCAAGGAGAATGCTGGAAATCTTTCCTGGGGCTATGTATGATCATTTTATTTAAAAATTGAAATTGCGTTTTCTTCAAAATCATGAAGAGTAGCATGAATGGTGTCATGACGACTTGAAATAATTGTTTCCGCTTTCTACTATGCATTCATCAATACTTTTTCGAAATATTATTATTATCACTTTGGACTGGAATGAAATAAATTCTTAGACTAAACGAAAAAAGACATGGAGCCATAGGAAGACAGGCTATCAGCTCTAATTTATAACAGTACATTAGATTTGTAGCTGATTTTAAAATGTCCATAGGATTAGTCGCTTCAAATGCAAAACTTCTAGTCAAGGACAAGTTACGACAGTCACAGATAATGTGCTTTATAGTGAGAATTTGTCCACAATTGCAGGATGATTTCTTTAAGATTCATTGGTGAATTGCAATTGCATGGCCAAGGCGAATTCTCGAATAGCTTTGAATTGTGATTTTCTCAACATTTGCTGGATATAAACGTGGAATTAATTGAGGGTTAATTGAAAAGTAATTCTGATCAATGATATTTTAGATTTATCTTCGTCTTCTTTTCTCTCTGTATTATATTTCTAAAGAAAATTTTTCCTCTTCATTATCCTCTTTATATTTTCCCATAAAGAAAATTTGAAAATTCAAGCTCAAAATATTGCAACCTGCTGAGAACTATCGATAACGGACAAGATCAGTTAAATAACTAAACTGGAACAAATGAACTGGAATGGAATGGAAGAATTTTTTTTTTTTTTTTTTTTTGTTTGATTAGAAAACTTTTGAAATTCTTTATAAATCGCATCGTCTGTTTGACTACTTCATTTCAAGTATTCAATAAATTGTTTATCATCAGCTTATCAGCTACTCACTCTCACCATCTTTTCGCTAACGTTACTTGTTAATAATAT